GTACATTTGTTTAATTTTTTAAAGACGTTTTTCTTCTTTACATACGAGTGTCCAAATACAGCCAATAGAGTAAAATTTATGGAAGCCCTTATATAAAAAAAAACAAAAAAAAAAAAACGACCTTTAATAACACTAATTATGAATAATTTTTATGAGTATTTGGAGATGAAGAACATTTACGAAATTTTTATACCGTCTACAACTACACTGTAATACTATTATTATAGTCGTATAAAAAATAATCCTTGAAAATGACTAACAGTTTAGCCGAAAGCGCTCGACATCAAAAAAACCTCAAGACAATTTTTACAGTGATTAATCTAGTAAAGAAAACACTTGTACAAATACAATAAAAAAGTAAAAAAAAAACACTGCCTTGTCAGTATGTTTCAATGATACATGTCTGAGATACATATTACTGCTCAAATATAAATCTACACACACGCACACACACACGCGCATACGCACACATTCATACATGCATATATATATATATATATATATATATATATATATATATACTTGCATGAGTGAGTACATTAATATTTGTTCGTTTATTTGTTTATTAATAAATTAGGTTTATATTATAATTGTTTCTTTTATTTAATTATTAAATATATATATATATATATATATATATATATATATATATATTTTATTTCCATTTTTTGCTTGTCTATTTTAGAGTTTCTAGAAAGTGACCCATTCAAAAACATTCTCCTCCAAACTCTTCCTATTTGAGATACATAGACGACTCACTATTAATATATCTACAAAATACTAATTTAAAAGATCTTCTCAACCAACTTAACAACGTTGAACCTACAATATATATATATATATATATATATATATATATATATATATATATATATATACTACACTTGTAAATTACGTATTTTCCGTAATTGTCAGTGATGGGCTGTCTATGTTTCGGCTTAACATGATGTGAAAAAATAACTCACCTATCTCCACCCTCTGAGCTTACTTTTCTATTTAGCATTGATCTGACATTTTTTGGAAAAGAGGTATTACTTTGTTTTTAAGTTTTTTTTAAATCATAGCCAGTTACTTACCATCGCCTGAAGAAGCACAATTAAAGTATTGAAACATGAAAGCTTATGTGTAGCGATTTCAACGTGTTTTTTTTTATAATCTTTCATAATAACAATTATATATATAGATATATAATGAAATGGATTAAGTCCGACAATTATTTAATATATTTTTTGTTTATATATTATTTTATACATACAATTTATTTATGTAAATGCTCAGTTTTTTTTTAATTAAACAGTATTAATTACGTTTAACTGTCTGAATGTTCAAGAAATTTCGTAGAAAATATGAGTTCTTCAACAGGAATAGAAACTGTATTCCTAACCGGAAACTGTCATTTGATCTGACGTGCTATACCATTTAGCTACAGAGAAGCGTCTGGTTAGCAAAGTCCAAATTACTGTTTTTAAACACAGAATCTTCGACGATTTTCTCGATCGATCATATCTACTTACGAAACGTATCTTAACGTAAACATTATATGTATAATGAAATAAAAGGAATAGAACCTGTATTCCTATACGGAATTTCTCGAACATTCCGACCAGTAAATGAAATTAATACTGTTTAATTAAAGAGAAAAAAAAAATAGAGCATTTACTTAATAAATTGTCTATAAATATAAAGTTTAAACTAAAAATATATTAAATAATTATCTTGATCTATTTCATAAATTGCCCGAATGTTCTCTTCAACTGATCGCTTCCGGCTATACATTTTAACCATTATCAAAGATGATTTTGTTTTTACTTTTAACTGAAAGTATGGATTGTTTTATTCTTATAACCCTAGATACATACACAAACACGCCTGCTAACCATTGAGGTGGCCAAAAGCGATTTACTAAGCATAACTTAGTTGCAGCACAAAGCGAAAACGTGGGGCACCCAGTAAGGATCGATTTCACTACTCTGTCGTAATTGATCTAGTAGGACTGTCATGCTAAACAACACACCACGTCGAAGTGACCAAACACATATATATTTATTTTTGTCTATGTAAAATATGCTTTGCCAGGTACTTGATTCGACCCAGTTTTGTGAGTGAATCCTACCTTGGTGGGGACGAAAAGTCTTCAGCAGTCCTTTGTTTTTATGTATGTATGTATACATATATATATATATATATATGTGTGTGTGTGTGTGTTAGAAAGGGTTCTTTATCATTCCGACAGATTTTTATCACTTGTGACATAAGCTGCCAAGGACCAATCAAAATACAAGTATATGAGAATTCAAAAAAGTTGACAACAAACCTTGGTTATAATAATTAATGCCTTAATGTTGGGGTTAGACTAAACTAGAAATTATTCTAAGTAATATTAAATTCTACAATTAAATTGAAAATTAAAAAATTAGAAATTTTAAATTCTAAAATTAATCTGTATTAAGTTTAAAATTATTTAAAGAAGAAACTGAGGACTATATATATATATATATATATATGTGTGTGTGTGTGTGTACATGGGCATATATATGTGTGTATGTGGGTACACGCCTCTATGTATGTATGTACGTGTATATGTTATTGTGCATGTGTGTATACGCATGTGTTTTTGAACATAAAAATATAGGTCCTTGCTGGATTAGATAATCGTTATATTTATTTTTTTATATGTTTATTTTGATATTTGATATATATATATATATATATATATATATATATATATATATATATATATATATATATATTGTTATTTACGTCCATATTAGATTTTAACGTTTATTTTAACTGAGTTTTTGGCCTTTCAATTAAAAAAACAAAATAAATGACATTATGATGATTAAAGATATCTTACTGGAATTCTCCGGGGTTTTTATTACACTATTGGACTCTACTTTGAGCACTAAGTGTGTATAATTACTCTCCAAGCTTAACAGAAGAATCATGATGAAATCGATCATAAACGAAAATGACATGTTCATCATTAATTAATCATAGCTAAGGATCGGAAGCTCATAAAGGATTGAAATAAACTTCAAATATATATATATATATATATATATATATATATATATATAATTCCTGGGATATTTTACAACTAATCAATATGATCTTCGCCCTCTCTAACATTCTAAATTTCTGTCCTGGAATAACAAGGTGCCTCATACGTTTCACGTACGATTTCATTTTCAAGTCTTTTTTCACTACTCTTTTGACTGTCATAGCTGAAACTCCTCTCTCACGCGCCAAACGTCTTATAGATTGAGTTGGATCTTTTCTAATTGATCTCTTTAGCTTTAAGTTGAAATGATGATCCCTATTCTTGTTGTGACTCTCTATCCAATTTTCCTCTCTACTGTCCCCTTGTTTATAAAACTAACCGTTCTCTTAATGGTTCTTGAATGAATGGATGGAAGCCAGAGTATGAATGTTGGTACCATTACTGAAGGCATGAATGATCTTTTTCATCTCACCATTGCTCAGTTAAGAAGACATAGTGGGACTGACACAAAACGATTTTAACCTGTTCTCTTTCTAAATGCATAACTCAAAGGGTTTTTCAGTGATTCCTACGAAAAATGGTGTCAAGATGGCTAAATGTCTTATCTGAAACCCTGGAAAAAAGAAATTCAATTAGTTTAGATTTTTTTTTAGATATTAAACATTTTGTGGGATGGACAATTATGCTGTTACACAATTTAGACAATTTTGCTGTAACACACGTTATATTTTAAAAATAATTTCTTTTACTATTCCGACAGATTTTTACCAATTTATATATATATATATATATATATATATATATATATATATATATATATATATATATAGAGAGAGAGAGAGAGAGAGAGAGAGAGAGAGAGAGTAAACATAAGAAGCAACAGATAAATAATGAAAACATCCTACCAATATATATATATATATATGTGTGTGTGTGTGTGTGTGTGTGTGTGTGTGTGTGTGTGTGTGTGTGTGTGTGTGCACGTGAGCGTGTGTGTAAAATTGCTCAGTCATATAGTAGATGTCTTTCCCTGAAATATGACTAGATATAAAACGTCACCTCTTTAAAAAAAAAAAAAAAAGGAAAAAAAGAAAAGAAATAAAAATACCCAGTCTGCAAAAAAAAAAACCTCTATTATTACGAACAAATAAATTACCATATGTGAGAAACATCGACAACAATAGCATGTGGTACGTTTTACCTTTTTATACACCGTCCCCCATTATTCCTTGTTGGCGGTTTGCGACTCAACTCCTGCAGATATTCATCCATCTTTCTTTATTTCCTTCCCCAAACCCTCTTTCCCTGGGACTTCCATCAGTGCGTATTATTCCAACATTGGAAAGGCAAACGATACAATTCCCTGAACCTCTACCGCCCTACCACCTTCAAGAGTATAGTGCACATTCGTAAAAAAAAAAATGTGCCCCATACAAAGTCATTTCTTGTAGGAATTATAACTTGAGCCCAACAGTTCTCAACGCCGCCATCTTAGCTAGTGTATCTGCCTTTGCTATTGAATTTATTTCATTAGTTTTGTGTTGGGACTAATTCCAGCCGATGGCGTCGTGTGACTTTGGTTCTTGCTATTTTCTCTCTTGTTCGAACAATCCCATTTGGGTTTTCCGTTTCTGTTTCCTCAATTCCCTTCCCTAGGTGGAGACACCGTCATTTCTCATCGCTGTTCGCTCCATCTTTGTTTCTTCTGAGGTGAGGTTGTCTTGTTGTCCCTGTCTCTAAGCCTTTGTAATTCTGTTTAGAAAGATAAAAAGAAACGGCAAGAGAAACAAAGAGGGAAAAAGAAAGAAAAAAGAGAAATGAAAAAGAAATAGAGAAAAGAAGTGAAAACGGAAAGAGAGAAATGAAACCAAAAAGAAAGAACGAAACGAAAAGAGAAAGAAATAGAGAAAGGAAGAAACGAAACAGAAAAAGAGAAATAAAAAAGAAAGAAAGAAAGAAATACAGAAATGGAGAGAGAAGAAATGAAAAAAGAACATCAGATGTAAAAGAAAGAAAGAAAGAAAGAAAGAAAACAGGGAAAAAAAAGAAATGGAGAAAGACAGAGACGAACGAGAAAAATGAGAAAAGAAACAAAACACAAAGAAAGAAACGAAAAGAGAAAGAAATGTAGAAAGAAAAAAAAAGAAAAAGAAGAAACGAAAACCGAACGATAAAAATGAAGAAAGAAAACGAGAAAGAAAGAAGGGAAAACATTAAGAAAGGAAAAAAAAGAGAAAGAAAGATATACAATTCGGAGGAAGAAGAAATTAAAGAAAAATATGTTGTGAAAGAAAGAAAGAAAGGGAGAGAGAGGAGGAGAGAGAGAAAGAAAGAGAAAAAGAAAGAAAGGGAGAGAGAAAGAGAGGATAAGAGAGAGGGAGAAAGAAAGAAAGATAGAGAAAGAAAGAGAGAGAGAGCGGGAAGAGAGATAAAGAAACAGAAAGAAAAAGTAAGAGTGAGAGAGAGAGAGAGAGAGAGACAAAGAAAGAAAGAAAGAAAGAAAAAAGAAAGAAAGAAAGAAAGAAAGAAAGAAAAGAAAGATATACAATTCGGAGGAAGAGGAATTTAAGGAAAAATATGTTGAAAAAAAAAAGAAAGAAAAAAGAAAAAAAAGAAAGAAAAAAGAAAGAAAAATGGAAAGAAAAGAAAAGAAAGAGAGACGGAAGAAAATTAAAAAAAAAAAAATAAACTAAGAAAAAACTAAGGAATTTAATATGAAAAAAAACAATAACACAAAATAGAAAAGAAAGAATGAAAGAAAGAAGAGAAAGAAAATTAAAAAAAGGAAAAAAAAGAAACTAAGAGAAAAAAAGAAGAAGAAAGAAAGAATTTAATAAGGAAAAAAAAAAGAAATAAAAGAAAGAAAATAGAAAGAAAATAAAAGAATGAAAGAAAAAAGAAAGAATGAAAGAAAGAAGAGAGAAAGAAAGAATAAAAGAAGGAAAAGAGAAAGAAAGAAAGAAAGAATGAAAGAAAGAAGAGAGAAAGAAAGAATAAAAGAAGGAAAAGAGAAAGAAAGAAAGAATGAAAGAAAGAAGAGAGAAAGAAAGAATAAAAGAAGGAAAGAAAAAGAAAAGAAGAATGAAAAGAAAGAAAGAGAAAGAAATAAAAAAGAAGGAAAAGAAAGAAAGAAAGAAAGAAAGAAAAAAAAGAAAAAAAAAGAAAGAAAGAAAGAATGAAAGAAAAGAAAAGAAAAAGAATAAAAGAAGGAAAAGAAAGAATGAAAGAAAGAAGAGAGAAAGAAAGAATAAAAGAAGGAAAAGAGAAAGAAAGAAAGAAGAGAGAAAGAAAGAATAAAAGAAGGAAAAGAGAAAGAAAGAAAGAATGAAAGAAAGAAGAGAGAAAGAAAGAATAAAAGAAGGAAAAGAGAAAGAAAGAAAAAGAAAGAAAAGAAAGAAAGAAAAGAAGAAAAGAGAGAAAGAAAAGAATAAAAAAAGAAGGAAAAAAGAGAAAAGAAAGAAAAGAAAGAAGAGAGAAAGAAAGAATAAAAGAAAAAAGAAAAAAAGAAAGAAAAGAAAGAAAGAAGAGAAAAGAAAGAAAAAAGAATGAAAGAAAGAAAGAAAGAAGAGAGAAAGAAAGAAAGAATAAAAAGAAGGAAAAGAAAAGAAAGAAAGAAAAGAATGAAAGAAAGAAGAGAAAGAAAGAATAAAAAAGAAGGAAAAGAAAAGAAAGAAAGAAAAGAAAGAGAAAGAAAGAAAGAATGAAAAAGAAAGAAAGAATAAAAGAAGGAAAAGAAAAGAATGAAAGAAAGAATAAAAAAAGAATAAAAGAAGGAAAGAGAAAGAAAAGAAAGAAAGAATGAAAGAAAGAAGAAGAAAGAAAGAATAAAAGAAGAAAAGAGAAGAATAAAAAAGAAAAGAAAAAAAAGAAAAAAAGAAAGAAAAGAAAAGAAAGAAAAAAATAAAATGAAGAGAGAAAGAAAGAATAAAAGAAGGAAAAGAGAAAGAAAGAAAGAAAGAAAGAAAGAAGAGAAAAAATAAAATGTAAATCTAAGCTAAAAGTAAAAGTGGGCTAATTTGATAAGGAAGAAAAAAGCGAAAAAGAAAGTAAGAAACAAAAAAAGAAGGTGTGTGTGTGGGGGATTCGTTAACCTGACGACTGCGTTCGTTCTTCCAAACTTACCGTCTCTGCGGCTGATTATTGCATTAATTACTTAAATAAATAAAATAGAAAAGCAGTGTGGGGATGGGGAAACGATCGTTGAGTGTTGCTTCTTTACCCCAACCGCACCTTCACCCTGAGGTAGATACACACTACCACAGAAGACTTCTCCCCCGCTCGCACACCGCCCTCGCACCGACACCAAGGCACAGTAGCTATCTGTTTCAAGCAATCGAGCGTAAGAGGTCCTAAAAAGTACCCTTCAGCAGGTTTGAGGTTCGAGCCTGACCCTAAAAAAAAAAAAAAAAAAAAAAAAGAAAGAAAAAACAAAAAAACAAAACAAATGGCAAGCAGTCAGGGTTAGGAACGGTTTTCGAAAACTTGTATGTCACGTGACCCGGCTTGCCTGAGGATCACGTGTGAATCACGTGCTTGCCGAGGTAACGAGTTATTTATTTCATTTCACGTTTATTTAGTCATATTTCTAGTTTTGTCTTTCTTTTTCTTTTTCCTTTTGGTTTAATGCGTGAATTCCGCCGATCTCTCGTTTTTGCTTGAAATTGCTTCTCTTTATTATATTTTGATCAGTGTCAGAGAGACAGGGGGGGAGAGAAAGCGAGAGAGAGATTGGGAGAGGGAGAGAGGAAGAGTGAAAGCGAGAGAGAGGAGTGAAAAGAAAGAAAGAAAGAAAGAAAGAAAGAAAGAAAGAAAAGAAAGAAAGAAAGAAAGAAAGAAAAAAGAAAGAAAGGGAGAAAGAGAGGAGGAGAAAGAAAGAGAAAAGAAAGAAAGGGAGAGAGAAAGATAAGAGGATAAAAGAAAGAAAGATAGAAAGAAAAGAAAGATAGAGAGATAAAAAACAGAAAGAAAAAGTAAGAGAGAGAGGAGAAGAGAGATAAAGAAAAGAAAAAAGAAAAAGAACGAAACAGTGAGAGAGAAAGAGAGAAGAAAAAAAAAAGAAGGGTTTGAGAAAGAAAAAGAAAGAAAAATAGAGAGAACGAAACAGCGAGGGGATGAATTGGTCTAGTTGCAGACTAAAAAACGAAGAGAATATTTTGAGAGAGAGGGATATGAAAAAAAAATAGAAAGATAATGAAAGATTTAGTGTATGAAATGTGTATGCAAATGTACCAACTATTATGGGACAGAGAGAAAAATAATTCTAATCCCAAATTGATTCAATTGGTCTAGTTGCAGACTAAAAATTAAGACTGAATATTATTCAGGGTTTCATAATTTTGTCCAGATTTATGAACCAAAAAAATAGACCTCTGCCCCATAATGATTGGTACATTTAGTGTATGAAATGTGTATGCAAATGTACCAACTATTATGGGACAGAGGTAGTAATAAATAATTCTAATCCCAAATTGGAAGGATTGCTGCTAGTTCTAAGCTGGTTCTCTTTAATCCTGATATGCTACAGTGTTCCCATAGAAATTGATTGCAATATATTAGACTACCTCTGTCCCATAATGGTTGGTACATTTAGTGTATGAAAGGTGTATGCAAATGTACCAACTATTATGGGACAGAGGTAGTAATAAATAATTCTAATCCCAAATTGGAAGGATTGCTGCTAGTTCTAAGCTGGTTCTCTTTAATCCTGATATGCTACAGTGTTCCCATAGAAATTGATTGCAATATATTAGACTACCTCTGTCCCATAATGATTGGTACATTTAGTGTATGAAATGTGTATGCAAATGTACCAACTATTATGGGACAGAGGTAGTAATAAATAATTCTAATCCCAAATTGGAAGGATTGCTGCTAGTTCTAAGCTGGTTCTCTTTAATCCTGATATGCTACAGTGTTCCCATAGAAATTGATTGCAATATATTAGACTACCTCTGTCCCATAATGGTTGGTACATTTAGTGTATGAAAGGTGTGCAAATATGCAAATGTACCAACTATTATGGGACAGAGTGTTCCCATAGAAATTGATTGCATAATTATAATTCTTTAATCCCAAATTGGAAGGATTGCTGCTAGTTCTAAGCTGGTTCTCTTTAATCCTGATATGCTATAGTGTTCCCCATAGAAATTGATTGCAATATATTAGACTACCTCTGTCCCATAATGGTTGGTACATTTAGTGTATGAAATGTGTATGCAAATGTACCAACTATTATGGGACAGAGGTAGTAATTGGAAGGATTGCTGCTAGTTCTAAGCTGATTCTCTTTAATCCTGATTCAATCCCAAATTGGAAGGATTGCTGCTAGTTCTAAATGCTGGTTCTCTTTAATCCTTGATATGCTACAGTGTTCCCATATGAAATTGAGACATTGATTGCAATATATTAGACTACCTCTGTCCCATAATGATTAGTACATTTAGTGTATGAAAGGTGTATGCAAATGTACCAACTATTATGGGACAGAGGTAGTAATAAATAATTCTAATCCCAAATTGGAAGGATTGCTGCTAGTTCTAAGCTGGTTCTCTTTAATCCTGATATGCTACAGTGTTCCCATAGAAATTGATTGCAATATATTAGACTACCTCTGTCCCATAATGATTGGTACATTTAGTGTATGAAATGTGTATGCAAATGTACCAACTATTATGGGACAGAGGTAGTAATAAATAATTCCAATCCCAAATTGGAATGATTGCTGCTAATTCTAAGCTGGTTCTCTTTAATCCTGATATGCTACAGTGTTCCCATAGAAATTGATTGTAATATATTAATAATGCATTTGGTCCTCGACTTACGTCGGAGATTCGTTCCTCCGACGCGACGTAACATGGTTTTCGACGTAGGTCGGAACTCACCTACACCCACTAGTCTGCCTTATGCTTGAGAGCCATAATGAAGGGTAAAAAGTTCCCCCAAAGAGAACAAAAACGATAAGAACGAGACATAGCGAATGGAGCACAATCCAATATGACGTACAGCCGGGGAAGAAGCGACTCCGTCTTCCTCACATAACGTCGCGTGACGACATATTATGGAAGATGGCGCCGTAACCACAACACGCCGTATGTCGGGTACGACGTAACCCAAAGAACTTCTGTATTATATATAAACTACTTCTGTCCCATAATAATTGGTACATTTGCAATGCGACAACCCTTCTGGGACAGAAGTCGTATATATCAAGATGTTATTAAATCCCTTACCCCTAAAAATTTATTGGAATATATGCTATTACTTCTGTTCCATAATTGTTGGTACATTTAATGTAAGAAGTGTATGTGAAAATGCAATCATTGTTTTTCGATAAATTAATTTAAAAGGAGTAAAGGGGAGTAACTGCACTAGCGATACGCACGACACAGAAGTCACGGGTGGAAAACTATAAAAAGTGTATTGCAAAAAAAACTATGTTAAATGTTATCTCGGCCTTTCACATTATTAGGGCATTATGTACCGCAAATATGAAATTTTAGGCCAATAACATGATTGATGAAATAAGGAAAAAACGATTACATTCATGCACATTATAAAAAGATAAAAACCTTTCCTTTACAAACAACACAACATAAAATTAAATTAACCTTAAGGGCAGAAACACACTTTCAAAGAAGAACAATAATATTAGGTTGGTGCAAAAATAATGACGTAATAATGTCATTTTTTGACCTTAAAAAATACTCCAAAAAACGACATTATTACGTCATTATTTTCGCACACACCTAATACAACGTGGATTTAAAAAAAAAACGGTTAAGTTCCGGGACACATGGAAACAAACAAAATAGTATTTACGCATTTTATATTTTTCGGACTGTTGTCCTCATTTTTGTTGTCATATTCACAATGTTTCAGTCATTGTACGCTCCGGCCTTCTTCAGGAATTTCGAACCAAACCTTTTATTTCGTCCATCAGGTTAGATTGTTAGAACTTGGTGATCTCCCTTTTCCCTCCATATATTAAATTATGTTCTTTTGTGATTTACCAATAAGTTTTTTATGTTCTGCAGAAGTGTAGAATCTTAGCATTGTTAATTGATTTGTCTGGTTGATTTTAGAATATGTCAACCCTTGTTGGGACATTTGATGTTGAATTTTGTATGGGGCACCTAGTGAGGACCAAACTTCCTACTCACTCGTAATGGTCAGACTTCCCTTGATAAACATTACACCAAGCTAAGGTGCATATAATTAAGATGGTTGATTTTAGAATATGTTAACCTTTGTTGGGTTATTTAATGTTGAATTTTGTACGGGGCACCTAGTGAGGATCAAACTTCCTACTCACTCGTAATGGTCAAACAGACTAGCCTTGATAAACATTACACCAAGCTAAGGTGCATATTTAGTTAAAATGGTTGATTTTAGAACGTGTCAAGCCATGTTGGGTTATTTAATGTTAAAGCTTGCAGTCCAAGAAGAATTTGGAATCATACATGTTGCTATCGATTGAAAAGGAATTATTAGATGAATTGAATGCAGAAGCAATTATTGGCAAATTCACACAATCATCAAGAGAACAGAAACGATTGCTCTTAATATAATGAACTGCAAGGGATGCTCTATTGTGCTTTTGAACTATTTGTTCATGTGTAAATTATGCAGTAAACTATTTAAAAATATCAATCATTTTAAATAAATAATTCAATTATAACATTCCGTACTTACATGTGGTATCTACTGTCAGTAATATGTATAATACATGTACATTGTAATTACTTAGAAATACAGATTTTTTACACTATTTACATTTGTTATCATATTCACAACGTTTCGGCCGAACTTCTTCAGGTGATTGGAATTTCGAACCGAACCCTTTATTTCGTCAACCAGGGTATATCGTTCTAGTTCCACGCGCCGTACCTCTTGCAAATATCACAGTTTCAGTTATTTCCATTTAATTCAACTCTCCAAGTCTTGTTCACCTCTGTTGTGGCCAGGTATTGAACTCACAACTCTTTGGGTCAAATCATTGGATTACTGAATCCACTTGGCCATGTGTTTTTGGTAGTTTTCATTTTGTAAAATGAAGTAATGCTAATAGGTCGTCTAACAAGATATTTAAAAGAAATGGGTTGTCGAAATCGCGTTTTTTTCTTGTCTTTTTAAATTTTTTTTTAATATTCCGTTATAGCGATTTTCTAAGCCCGGTTTAGATGTGGCACAAGGCCGAAAGTATGGGGTACCCAGTGAGGATCGAACTCGCTACTCAGTCGTAATTGATCCAGCAAGACAAGCTTTCTAACCATTACACCACGTCCAGGTGCCCAAAGGATTTTCCAAGCGTAGCTTAGATATGACACAAGGCCGAAAGTAGGGGACACCTAGTGAGGATCGAACTCACTACTCACTCGTTATTGTTTTAGCGAAAAAAAGCTTGCCCCGAGGTGCCCTAAGTGATTTTCCAAGCGTAGCTTAGATGTGGCACAAGGCCGAAAGTATGGGTCACCCAGTGAGGATCGAACTCACTACTTGGTCGTAATTGTTCTAGCGAGACAAGCTTGGTAACCCTTACATGGCCTCGGGTGCCTAAATATTTCGTTATATAATATATATCTATTCCAACTTAGATCGTGAGCATTTAGGCAGCAAATGTTCTTTAAGGAAAATGTTACTGAAGACAATAGACATTTTGTGTCGATTAATTTTATTGGTCGTCTTTTCCAAATTACGAATAGTCCTTCTCAGACGAGGAGGAAATTCCGTCAGAAATTGTCCAAAGTTCATTTTGGTAGAAATATGGTCCTAGCTTTCGATTTTCTTAAATCATCATCAGGGTAGGTAGAGACAAATAGTGAGGTGGGAAAAGTGTGTTGTGACGTAGCCGAAGTGTGATGTGTGTGTGTGTGTTTACTTTTTATTTATTTATTTACGTTTTATATACATTTGAGAATGCATGTTCTTAAATTATGATTTATTTTTTATTTATTGATGATTGTTTTTGCTGAATCAGACTTGCTTCGCGGCTCATAAATCTGTTTTAACTATTTGCTTTTGCTTTGCCTGAGAGTAGCTGTCTAATATTAATATGGCCCTTTTGCTGCTTATTAATGTGTTGTCTGATGGCAAATATAGTTCGATTTAGTCTCCGTATGTGTACAAGACATTA